AGTACAATAACTACACACACACACACACACACACACACACACACACGCAGGGACGAATTCTTCACTGATTTACATTGGTGCAGCCCCACTGATTTGGGTGTACACCAATGTAACAGAGGAAATTGGCACTATAGATGCACAGTTAAAGGGGGAAGAAAAAAAAAAAAGACTAGGGACTATGGACCAAATTCAACACTGGCATAAGATGTATGCAACTCCATTGATTTGACTGGAAAAGCACCAAATTATGGGAGGCCAGAATTTGAGCTGACCTATTCTGGTCTGATACTAATGCCATGCAGACAGAGGTAAAGCAGGCTTTTCAGACCTCCAGAAGAATTCTTCAGCCATTACTACAACTTTTACTTAGGATCATTTAAATCTATTTAAAGAGAATTTAAACTGGATTACTACAATAGCAATAATCTATGTGTAAACATGAGATGTTCCAGTTGGATATAGAAGGTGTAAGCTATTATTTCACCTGCTTTATCATGGGAGAAATTCAAGCTCATAAGTAGATCTGTCCTTTAATTTGGGTAGTCAACACATTCTTCAAATATATGTAAATCTTCCAAGGCCAAGTCTGTATTCCATCTTTCCTAGTGATGAAAGGATCATTTAAGAGCCTGGACTACAGTCCAAAATACAGTAGTGGTTGAGTGAAGCATAGGAACTGGAAAAGAATTGGATATATTAGAAACCTCTTCCAATCCAATTTCCCCATGAGGTGAACTCCTTTATTTCCTTGTCTCCAACAGATGGACGTATTCCTCTGCCTCCTCATTAGCCCCCTGGCACTGGGGAGCCATTGGCCTTTACAGCGGTGGAGGATTTATGTTCACCTTACCTAAATCAAGGAGTGAGAGCATAAGGAAGCTTGCGTTTCTCAGACGTAACGGCTGGCTCACTAGAGGGACAAGAGTCGTATTTATTGACTTCTCAGTGTATAATGCCAACATAAACCTCTTCTGTGTAGTCAGGTCAGTGCTTACATTTACTCCATCTGAAATCCCATTTACTAAGGCATTATGCTTCTTTAAGGGTGAAATAAAAGGCTGTTTACCTCCAGCACACCCTGTTCTGTGTTTCTCACCCAGCAGTTGGCAAGACAGCTAATTCTTAAAACAAGAGCAAATGTTTCAACCCAATCCTTCAGAGGGTTATGCCTAGCTGTATAGCTGATTATTCCTATGGGGCAGGACTTGACTGAGTAACCTTTTGCCCCATCAGAGCCTTGGGTATTAGTCTTGTCATCAGCTACTGAAGGAAAAACACAGAATCCTGAATTTAGGGCTTGGCCGAGTGTCTGATCTGCTCAGACACCATTTAATTAAGATCAGTGCAAGCAGATGGAATATTTTAACTGACAGCACCTATTTGGATTGCATGCCACATGCTTTTCTTGTTTTGTCTTCAGCCTATTCCCTCATTACACTCCCTCTAAAGATAATTCTCAGTCATCCAGAAAGGAATAGTTAATGGAAATGGGGGTTGTTAAACTTGCTATTTTTACACAAGCATTTCCCCTCATTGGATCATGTTTTAATTTTAAGGACAAAGACTTAAAGTGATGCTGTCTGATCACTGAAACCAGCAACAAATACAATCCTGTCTAATTCACTTCACAGGTTGGTAGTGGAATTCCCAGCCACTGGTGGTGCTCTTCCTTCTTCGCAGTTTTACTCAGTAAAGCTTCTCAGATACGTCACTTATTACGATTATTTCCTTGCCTCTTGTGAAGTCATCTTTTGCCTCTTCATCTTTGCTTTCATCATCCAAGAAATTTTAAAAGTTAAAAAACTGAAAACGGAATATTTTAAAAGTGCCTGGAACTGGCTGGACATGCTGTTGGTGTCGGTGAGTACTACCCAGTGCTGGCTTCTACCTGCAGGTTTGAGATTTCCATCGGAAACTACCAGTTTGGAACAAATGGCCATTGTGAGATGTGACCGAGATGGCCAAGAGAGAAAACAGCCCTGATTCAGTTCTTGGTTACAATGGGTCTATCCAGTTTAATACAGTGACAAGGCCATGTTATCCAGTGGGTAGGGCACTTGGCGAGGGCTGGGGTCTATACCCAGCTCTGCCATGGATGCGCCATGTAACTGCGGGCAAGTCACTTCCCCTCCCTGTGCCTCTCTTGTCTATTTCAACTGCAAGCTCTTCAGGACAGGGAGTGTCTCCAAGGGTTTGTACAGCACCAGGGGCCTCTTGATGCTACCATAATGTAAATCGGTGATACCTCACCTGCGGCTCTTTAATGAGTCTCCTACGGCTGCTTGCAGCACATGATATTAAAACACTGATTTAATTAACAACCAATCTGGATGCTTTTACTATATTATTAACCAATTGTAGTTGATAAAACAACAATACTTGGTGAGTCATTTTACTGTGAGAATTTATATTTAATATATATTCATTCATTGTTTCATTTACTATTGGTATAATTATATTTATAATATAAAAATAGTAAACGAAACAATGAATTCACACTACTGTGGCTCTTCTGGATAATGTTGATCGCTAATTTGGCTCTTGAACCACTGAGGTCTGAGTATCACTGATGTAAATGATTAAAAATCTAACAATATAGTTTGATCATAAATTATGAAACTGAACTAGATATGGTCCGTGGGCTTGTGAAGCCTGATCCAGACGTCAGTGGGAATTTCCCCATTAAGTTCAGTGGACTTTGAATAAAGTCCCTGGCGATCTGCCAGTGCAGCACTAAGGCGGGAAAATTTGGACATCCTTAACACACAACCAGAATGTTAGTTTGTTGTGGGGCTGAATCCTGAATCTGTGCTCAGGGCCGAACTGGCTCACGGTGTGGGTTTTCACCACCCATGGGACAGGAAACACAAGTCTCCGCTGATGGAATTTCCCTTAAATAGTTCTGTTGAAGAGGTGGTTATGGGGTGTCACACCCCCACCTGACTGGCAGGGAATTCAGCTCCTGGAACTCTCAGATCCTACACACTGCTTCCTGATCCAACCCCAGCCCTCATGAGAACCTGGCTCTGATCGGAATCAGTCTCATATGGCTCCCTCACCCCAGATCCTCTATTAGAAGATGGTCCCTAGCAGACAATTCAAGGGGGAAGTAATTTAGTACAGCCTACTTACTCATCCCTTATGCGGTTGGTGGGGGACAGTGCTCGGAATCACGCCTGTCTGACCCTACAGAGCCTGGTCCTGTTGGGACATCCAAGGAGGGGCTTTATCAAGGTCAAGAAGGGCAGTGGTTAGGAGGAGATGGCACAGAGGCGACCCTCCCCCCTTCAATAGGCTCCTTCCCTGAACATGCCAGCTTGACATCACGCTTCCCACGCTTGTAACACATTCATGTACTCACTTCTTCACTCAGTGTTCCTGATTACTCTTGCCAAGCTGTAGCGAGTTTTAGGCTAACGATCATGCAACTGGGCACGATTAGAGCACTGAAGATGAGAGGGGATATCTGGACCATAGTCTGACGAGCCTCTGCTTTTATTCAGCTGTCTCTCTTTGCCATTGCCTTCAATATGTACCGTACTATAGAGGTGTCCTTGCTGATGGAAAGCCTGCTCTCTAATGCCTATGTGTATCCGGACTTTTATTTCCTTGCATACTGGCAAACCCGTTACAACAACATGATTGCGATCAATGTCTTCTTTGCATGGATAAAGGTACCAGTTCTCCATTTTCCTATCTTATACACCAGAATCGTAGTAGTGCTAAGTGTATTGTAAATCTTTGCTCTTACATCTTCAAGGCTGAATTGCAAAGGTAGAGCTAAAAGCGACAATTCTGTTTATAAGATTCCAGAAGAGGAACAGGGTATCTGGCTGTTTAAGGAACCATCCCCAAGGGCCAGTCACATGTCCAATCCTTACACAGCCGTAGTCCTTCTAAAGACAAGTTTCACATTTTAGACCCCATGGCTAAAAGCCCTGTCTCCTATACAGGATCATTGGCCTGCTAGACGGAGTGGGGAATAATTGTGCCCAAACAGTGTTTTGAAATTCATTTATTCCCTAGACCTAGTTTTAACAAGGCTCTGACCTGGTCTATGCTGATGGCACAGCCATGATAGCTGAAACTGTATTTAAAAGCTATTTAACAACAAAGTTCATTTTGTAGAGCACATAAGGTCTACTACTGGGCACAGTGCTTTAAAAGAAAGATATGGACAAACTGGAGAAAATCCAGAGGAAAGCAAGAAAAATGATAAAAGGTTTATAAAACCTGACCTATGAGAAAAGTTTTAAAAAATTTGACATGTTTAGTCTTGAGAAAAAAAGACTGAGAGGGAGGGGACCTGTTAACACTCTTCAGATTAAGGGCTGTTACAAAGAGGGTGGTGATCAATTGTTCTCCACCTCCACTGAAGGTAGGTCAAGCATTAATCAGCTTAATCTGCGGCAAGGGAGATTTAGGTTAGATATTAGGAAAACCTTTTGAACTATAATGGTAGTTAAACTCAGGAATAGGCTCACAAGCGAGGTTGTGGAATACCCATCACTGGAAGAGGGGGGAGGGATAGCTCAGTGGTTTGAGCATTGGCCTGCTAAACCCAGCGTTGTGAGTTCAATCCTTGAGGGGGCCATTTAGGGATCTGTCTGGGGATTGGTCCTGCTTTGAGCAGGGGGTTGGACTAGATGACCTCCTGAGGTCCCTTCCAACCTTGATAAAAAAACAAATAAACCACACGGGATGGACAAATACTTGTAAGGGACAGTCTACATTTACTTGGTCCTGCCTCAGCATGGGGAGGATGTGGGGAAGGGAGGATGGACTAGATGACCCCCTGAAGTCCCTTCCAGCCCTGTATTTCTATGATTCTATTATTCTAAAAGTGTCTGGGCCAGATTCTGTGAAAGCCCTGAGTTTGGCTTCCATTTGTACAGACAAAAATTACTCCTGTAATTTTCACTGATTTCTATTTCTGGCTCAGGCATTTGTAAAGTGCCCAGCACTGTAGTAGATAGGTGGCTACAAATCAGAAGAGTGCAAGCATAAGGGGAGGCACTGGGAGAATAGAAACTGCTTTCTTTTAAGTCAGGCCCCAAGCATTTAAATAAGCTCCAGCAGACTCTAATTCACGTGCCATTAAGGTAAAGAGGGGAAGTTTGTGGCTCTTGGTGCCATTCAGTCTGCCTGGCTGCTGACCATCACACAAGAATGCAAATCTTAGACCAGAGATGGGCAAACTACAGCCCGCGGGGCACATCCGGCCCGGCCCCCGAGCTCCTGGCCCAGGCTAGCCCTAGCCCCTCTTCCCCTGTTTCCCTTCCCCCGCAGCCTCAGCTCGCTCGCTCTGCCACCGGCGCAATGCTCTGGGCGGCGGGGATGTGAGCTCCTGGGGCAGCGCAGCTGCAAAGCCCGGCCTGACGCCAGTCTCTGTGCTGCGTGGGGGTAGCGGCGGCGTGGCCCGGCTCCAGCCGGGCAGCACAGCTGTAGCGCTGCCAGCCACCGGTGTTCCAGACAGCGTGGTAAGGGGGCAGGGAGCAGGGGGCACAGAGCAGGGGGGGGTTGGATAGAGGGCAGGGGAGTTTGGGGTAGTGGTCAGGGGGCGGGGAACAAGGGGTTGAATGGGGGCAGTTGTTCCGGGGGGGGGGGGAAGGAGTCAGGAAGTGGGGGGGGTTGAATGGGGCAGTCAGGACAGGGAGAAGAGGTGGTTGGAAGGGGCAGGGGTCCAGGGGGGGCTGTCAGGAATGAGACGAGGGGTTGGATGGGGCAGCAGGGGTCCGGGGTGGTCAGGGGACAGGGTTCCCGGGGGGGGGGCGCGTCAGGGAACGGGGGTGTTGGATGGCGCAGGAGTCCGGGGCGGGCAGATAGGAGGTGGGGGCCGGGCCACGACCCCTCCCCTAACCGGCCCTCCATACAATTTACAAAACCCGATGCAGCCCTCAGG